ATGGCCGAGCCATGCCACTCGATCAACTCCTCTCCATTCAATTCATTGTTCGCGCCTTCTCCATTTTTAGGTATTTATCCGCGTTAAATATTGAATATCTATTTTCTGAGTAGTCTCGTGTTCACAGCTTTGTGGATTGTGTGGCTATTGTCCAATGCCACTACACTACTCTCCCACCAGAATCAACGTGATGTTGGTTCGATACCAAATTGGATGGGATCGTCGTGCGCCGAAGGTTACCAAGACTAGGAAGAATCCCCCGGGTAATGATAAGCTGAAAGATAATTCAAAAAGAAGGCGGCAGCATCTGGTCGGGAAATACATGTAATAATTTTTTTTTAAAAAAAAATCTGCCTTCATGCTTAACACACTTAAAATGACAATTTGAGTGAAGATTATTTGAGCTATAAAAAATATGGGATTACAGTAATAATAATAATAAAACAATGCGTGTTAATAACTTAACTTATAGGCAGTAATTATTTTGTGTTTAGAAATATTAAAATAATGAATATTGTAGAAATGTTAATATTGGTATTAGTTTTGGTTTAAATTATGAAATCAAATAACGATTATGCCGGTAAGTTGTCCATATGAGTTGAATTCCAATTGCATCTGTATTAGTAGGCTAACTGAAGGAACAAAAGTATACCGTGGAGAAGAATTCCAACTAGTGTTCCAGTTAGTTTGATACGGCTTATTTAGTTACGGGGAGATTTTCTCAACCTTATTTTTACTTGACCGTGATAGAATTTAGTAATACTACTAATACACATGAATGGTTATTAAAAGAAAATTTCAATATATGAGTGATAATTATATGAATTTTGGACAGATAGCTAAGAACAAATCGTTAAACATGAGTGTATTCGTAAGAGACATGCTCTAGACTCAATGTTCTGAGTTGCCATAGATTATTTATACATATTTATACCTGACGGCTGATGATGCATACAAGTTAGTTGCAAGTATGCAGTTTATCATAAGGCGGAATACGATTTAATTGAGATATAGTGGTTATAAGTTATTGAAATCAGTTAAGCCTATGTGTCATATTACGAAGTGATGTGGTGCTGCAAGATGTATTTAGCTAAATAAGTTTTTACAAGATGATTAATAGTGATTGATGCTCATGTGATTATCAGGGAGAACATAAGTTGTAACCAAGGGGAGTACACTCCCAACTCATGTCTATGATAATGGCTTGAACCTTAGTCAGTGTTGGGGTAAATTCGACATTGATGTTTTCAGTTTGCAGGAGATTTGCTCGACTGCTTATACTGATTATTTGCATGCATGATTGTGTCGCTAAACCATCAATTAGACTGACAAGGTTTTGAGATATTTACTGAATGAGCAACTGATAGAGAAACATACTGTAATCATCTGTGATGGATGAAGATACCAAGAAAACAACACCATTTAATGGTAGTTATAAGTCAATTAGTTGACCGATTTCGTTAATAGTTTCATTAATTTTATCAATCATATTACGTGATTGTCAAGTTATGACAATGCTTTATGACGATATCCTGAAACTATTATGTTTAACTAGTTATAGTGTTGATTGAGGATTAGTCAGTGGAAAAATAGGTATTGTTGCTTTAGGTGATTCGAAATTATCAGAAATTTACAACGTTAAGGAATCCGAGACGCCTAATTTAATTATATTTTTCAATTCAGAAATATTCGTTTACAGTTTTTTCTAGTAGGCTACGGAGTTTTGATTTCAAACGTTTGTTTAGCCAACAGCTACCTGGGGATTTAGTTATTTTACTAGTGCAGTTGATAGTACTTAAATTTTTTATCTTATTATCTAAACTATGTTCGCATTTTAGGCTGCTAATATGATAAACCAATCCATAAACCCAAATACGACTAGAAAGAACAGCTATGATGGGTTTATTTATAATTGTTAAAGGCGATTCAGATGATTTCTAAATTTAAAAGACATGAAGATATAGTGCAACGCATGTACGGGCCAGGTTAACAAGCAGGTTGTTGACGTATATGACAATTTAAAAATAATGAACACGACCAGACTGCTTATGAAACTTTAGGCAGGAATATGATGCGTTATAAACATTCTATAAGAAGTTGCGGCATTTAGCCTAGGGACACTTACAAATATGTGGCAAAAGGAACCGGAAAACATATACATGTTAGTAAAAAAAATCATCCAGTAAAATAGTTGAACTCGCCTGGATTATTTTTGAAAATTAGATTATTCAGTGGACGACATATATAACGCCATTCGTGAGTAGTAATGATCCAAAAGCATCCAGAATAAAACATACAGTATGGCAATCACTTCCAGGGTGCTTGATGCTGTTGAGGTCTTTGGGACTCGCTCTGATCAGAACAACTGAATGAATCCAGATAATTGTGTGTGCCATCTAAAATGAACTTATGATTGCAGAAAACTTATAGCTGGAACTCACCGTATGTTTTTGGAGTAATCATCCTCGTTGTTTGGCAATGGAACTCGAGAATATGAAATTAGGCAGGCAGTGGTCGGAAGAAAAGATATTACAGGATAGTGCATCGTTTAAAACAGGATGAGGTGTTAAGTGAAGGAACACTGAGAATTAGATCCAGATAACTATTTAGTCCTTGATCGCATTGTTAGTCAATGTATATTTACGCTATTTACAGGTCATATTTGCTAGAGCTTGATGTTTAAACAAGACTATGTCGCTGAAGCATGTAAATGCTATTACAGCTTGTTAACAAATCATCAAAGCTAATTAGTTAATATAGACGACCAGTTTTTATTATCGATTGAGCTAGTTTGTCATGAGGACTAATCAATATAACATTACGATAATGCATGTGAGCATTAATCAGAGGACTATTGGAATACAGGGTTAACATAAATATAAAATCGATCGAGAAAGTTGAAGTGGTAATAAGGATTAATAATATTAGGTAGCGTTTTTCTAGTCGGGCTTACCAATGTAGAACTATGATCTACTATGATATTAGTACTGCTCTAATAATAGACCTAATCCTAAATTTGTAGATTCGTCATGATATAACTGCCTAATCTATAAGATCTTACGTGGAAGTCACACCATCGACTACGCCAACTCACTGTATCGTATCATTTACCAATACCTGATAAACAACAAGGTTAGGATAGAGAAAGAACAATATATTTAATATGAATGAGATATAGGATAATATCCAGCAGGGACCACGCCTGCATGGCCGAGCCATGCCACTCGATCAACTCCTCTCCATTCAATTCATTGTTCGCGCCTTCTCCATTTTTAGGTATTTATCCGCGTTAAATATTGAATATCTATTTTCTGAGTAGTCTCGTGTTCACAGCTTTGTGGATTGTGTGGCTATTGTCCAATGCCACTACAGATACTCAGGAAGGACTAACTTATATGTCAGTGTCAATGAGATAACGGAATCTCGCCATCATATTGGCGAAACATGAAATAAAGATATATCCAACGTCTACGATTGCTATTAATTTGTGCCGGCAGTAGAATTTTCTGGAAGGTTCAAGGCTTAAGAAACTACGTGGTCTTCGGCAATTTTCGGAAGGTTTACCACAAGTGTTGTGGTACCACCACCAACTAGGGCTTCCTGTTTCTCGCGGTATACAAATGGATCATTATTGTGATGAGGTTCTTTAATGAGTTTTGGATCTCCTGTGATCATGGTGAAGGAAAAGAAAACGAGCAATGGTGTTAGAGGGATCTGTAATTTCGCTTTCAATTAACTGGGGCTTTTCTTTGGCAGAACAAACATCGATGTTGGGGATTGTGCAAATCTCTTAAACCCTATCGACATATGTAGCTAGTTCATCTACAGCATTATTTTGGAATGAGGCGAGAACCGCTTACACTAGTTGTGGAAGCTTAGATAAAAGGAGCTATCTCGAAACGTCTCGGTCTAATTTTGTTGATCAGTAACCGCTCCCATCAGCAGCAACATTTATGTTCCCGAGACGTGTCATAATTTCATATTGTAGAAGAGTTGATCGAATCTTTATCAATCGGCTAGACCTACACTTTTAAATATGACCTTTTTCAAAATGTCGTGAAGTTCGGAAACATCACTACCAAATATGCCTGGTGTAACGTGCTTGTTGGACTTGCTCTGTAATCCTTTCAATACTGTGAGGAATTGTCCTCATGATAGTCAACTTCAGCATCACAGCACCAGACTTTCATATTTGCAGGCTAGAGTGGCGTAAGTTCAAAAGTGAGGACGAGGGAGTCTTATTCTTAAACGATTGGGCCGCGAGTTCCGATATAATAAACATAAAGTATTTATATGTACGAAAAATTCGAAAACACAAGGTCATGCCAAAGTATGCAAAAGTATATATATATATATAGTTTATCTTTTGGTGTACAACCAAATATGTCGAACGTATCCAGGGTCCGATAACCTTGTTATCTCTAGCATCTTTACAGTCAAGGATTCTAAAGCCAACCACACCAGAATTCAGGAGTGAAAGGGTCAGGAGATATATTTAGATAATCGATGAGCTAGGAATTATATGAGCTTGGCTGACTAGTTGTTGTGAGCTTTTAGGGAAACAGCGTACTCAATCTCCTATGATTTCTTTCATCTCGGGAAATCATTGATACGTTCCACCATTAAGCTACATTTAGATTTACTCAAGACAAATAAGAAAGAGCTCGGATAAAAAATGCTGTGAACTTTTTAACAGCTCCGTTCAAGAAGTTATAGAATTTCTTCCTAGAAGTCATAACGGTGGGATCCTTTACCCTGCCTTATAAATAGAACTAAGTGTTTACTTTAAGTCATTTAGTGCTGATCGGGATTGGTCTAGGTTTCATTTCTTGATCACTTCCATTAGAAACCAAATCGTTTTCCTGGAGAAATATGGGAGAGACCATACCTCCATATAGCTAGAAACGCTATTCTAATAAGCAGACACAGATTCAAAAAAACGAATAGCTCGACAGCTCTGCTTAACTGCGTTCAAAGTACAATTACGTTTAAGGACTTCTAAAGAAACAAGTATAACATTTTATGACTTTACAAAGCAAATTCACAGTAAAAGTTAGTATTAATTCATAAAAGGAAGACTTAGTTATCATCCTTAAAATTTCTTGTTTTAATTTGTCGAGTCCAGGTCTCATTGTTGGGGTCAGTTGTCTTGTTGCCGAGTTTCACGTTAGCGTTTGGGGATGGTAGGTTATTTCACTTGTTTTCACTCGGTTTGTTTACGTGTGAGTCTGGATGAGGGCTTTCAACTCTTTTCAATCGTCATTTTAGATGCCAGTTACCTTATTCAATGCGGTCCTCAGACCCACACTTATCAATGTCATGAAGACTTCAACTGTCAAATTCTCTCCGACAGCTGTTTCATGCATTATCCCCAAAAGCCACTTCCATATATCTTCTGTCCGAAAAGATATTGATCAAGCAGCCAAATACATTGGTGCTGGCGCGGCTACTGTTGGATGTGCTGGATCAGGCGCTGGTATTGGATCTGTATTTGGAAGTTTGACTTTGGCATACGCCAGAAATCCTGGTCTAAAACAGCAACTATTTACCTACGCTATCCTTGGTTTCGCTCTGAGTGAAGCAATGGGTCTGTTTTGCCTGGTAATGGCTTTCCTCATTTTGTATGCTTTCTGAGGATGCATATACCCTCATGTACCTAGGCCTATTTTCCATCTCAACCAGACTTCTGGTCCAAATATGGATGTAAGTCCATTGTGCAGATAATAGACACTTAATACTAGCAAAATAAATTGTTATAGACTTGTTCCTCTTTTTTATGTACGTTATTATATATGGAATGGTCGCGAAGCTACTGGACTGTACTAGTACCTTGTCACGTTGATTTATATTAGTTATAGGGAGCTTTAGTAATCTAGAAATCTTTTAGATGGAATTGCTGTGTGTCCATTAGTTTTCGTTTGTTGACATATGCTTTTTTAGGTTGAGGGTCTTTAATCGTAAGTGGTCAAAGCCTTCGTCTTACGATTAGCTGTATAACAAGTTGCTTGTGTGTTTTCTTCATGTGGTTGATGTGTGGAGACTCAAAGTCTTCCCATGTTTGATTCCAGATAGTCAAGGTGAATGACGTGTTTTTTGTCCAGGGTACATCGCAAAAGGACAAAGCCACTACAGGTAGCTTCATTCCAACCATGTGAGTTTCCCTATTTTAAGGGACTAGACTTTCAGGTGAGACTATAACTTATGAATGACCTTTGAGCGATGCCAAACTGATTGAGTGTCTACCTACTGAATAAAGCTAAATGAGAGTTATTAAGCAGCTTGAAGAATTATGATCCACAGTTTGTGGTTAGAGTTGGGTATTGGATATAGGGTTTCATCACGAACTGACATTAGCTATAATGCCAGGACGCTATTTGACCAAAATGGTGAGCGAATTTCGCCTCGTCCATAAATTATAGTCTCGCCGAGTTTCAACACAGATTTGTCTCAAGGTGTTTACGTTCTGGTGACCTGTTGAAATAATCCTAGATCAGCTGTGTCTTCGTCTCATCGAATGTTCACATGTATCAGGTCCCCAAGCATGTCTTATTTTTGAGCAATCGATAGGACTTCGGCGATTGTTTGAAGCTCATAATATTAAGGCTTTATAGTCTTCAGTAATAAGGATGGTAGGCTGGTGAACATGTGTTAACCCTGAAAGACTGCCTTCCAGTGAAGGTCCAACTTCCCCTTGAAAATATTCATTGATGGGGCTGATACCACTTGTTCGAGTAAGGCGTTCCAAACTCACAGCTGGATGGGAAAAACGGGACCCCACTTTAAGCTTATCAGAACACGGTTTGTGAACATTTTTGCTGTTATCTCGGAGATTAGTGCTGGAGGGAGCAAAAGGATAAGACATGTTAACACCCAAATCATAATTGAAGATGCGAGATGCCAGTATAGGGTCACCTCGCGTCCCACGATACAAGGGGAAAGATTTAGGCGTTTTAAACGCTCATCGTAAGGGAGTTTAGAAAGACCCTTCACTAATTTTGTTTCCACATTATGAGCACGCTCGAGTTAGTATCCTTTATCAGACATGGGCTAGTTGCTGAGACATAAAATCCGAAACGTTTCCTTGTCAAAGCATTTTAATGCTCGGCGAAGTGACCATAACCCTGAAGTAGTACACTACAAGCTCTATGGATTTATATTATTAAGGTTTATGGTGTACACAGTGCGACTAGAAGTTAATCTGAACAAATTAAAAGTCAAATAATTATCTTTACAGTGATAGCGAAGTGAATATCGTGTGTATTTATCAGGTTTTTTCCAAAGTTAGTTGAAAGAAACAGCTTTTAGACCAAATTAGAAGCATCGACTATGTAGTTAGAGCGTTTGACTTTCAATCATTAGAACGCGAGTTCTAATTCTGCTTCACCTAATTGGCTTTAGTGTCCTGTTGCGTCACTAACCTTCAATTATAAATTGTTTGAGTACGTTAACTTATATTTGGTAAGTGATTTACAGATTGTATAAAGTTGGAGGATTTATTTTGATGGGGTTTTGTTCTCTGAGCTGGATGGTTTGGTCGTGGAGCTTTCATCGTTCTTCTGAACGACATCATCAGCACAAACTTCAGATAGAAGTGAAGTGTTCGAATTTCTCCATATGTGTTTCACAGCTTGTTCTGTGCACCTCAATGTTGATTGGTTCTTATTGACCTTAAATTTATCATTGTTTACTTCTTTGTTTTGGTTGTCTCCCATTGGTTTGAATTTTGTTCCTATATTTGTGCATGATTTTCCTGATTGGTTGATAAATTGGATTGATTTCAATATGTTTGTTGATTGCTGATTGACTCGAGTGCCAGGCTTCTAAAAATTCTCTGGTGTTTTTGGAGTTTCCTCTGTCTAAGATTTCTACATTTTTCCAATCGAATGAGTGTACGCAGTTGTCCCCGTGTATTGATATAAGTGAGGAGATATGGCTCCATGACCAAACCATCCAGCTCGGAGAACAAAACTTCATCAAAATCATCCACCTGAGCTACAAATCACCATCTCAAAATCATATGAAGAATTTATATTGTTTCAAGAATGATGTGCTTCGAAAGTAAATTTGAACGGGCAAATACTCTGTTTTGATGCATATTAGCTCTAGCAATGAATTCTAGAGTATACTAGAAGAATCTAACAGATTTAACATTACAATGTAAAAGCTGCTTGATCATCACCAAATAATTTATGGATCAGTTAATTTGTCTATCCGATCCCAGTAAATTGACATAAAAAGTATGGCTGCAAAAGTAAAAAATCGTTAGATATATAAGACAGCAATTATAGGGTTTATGTTTCCCATGTCCATTCACTAATGTGTTTAAGCCTTGGAGTCATGCAATATTGTGAATTGTTTGAAGATGAGATTTTGAACTTTCATATCCAACTCAGTAGCTCAAATGGTATTGTACTCACCACCAAACCTGTGCTACATTCAATCTTACATGGGATTGTGATTATTCACCTGCTAAAGAAATACATACTATGATGGGACATTCATCGATTGTCCTCTTGCTTCCAATCGTCTTTCAACTGATGATAATGTCAAAAACTGTGGATGGTTTACATAATCACATGCAAAATCCCAAGGTTGTCATGTATTACACGCTTGAATTCAGAATATTTGTAGCAAAATGGAGTTGGTGTAGTGTTCGTGTGTATGCATTGACGGTAAGTAAATGGATATTAAGGGAATGAAAAGCCACAATCATTATCTTTAGAGGGAACCACAACCAAACTTTTTTGATGAGATTACACTGCTTTAGTCGGGAATTCACAGTGGTTAAATTCAGTTCACCAAACCACCAAGTATTTGTGAATTAACAGCGAATGGAGAAGTTAACGATCATCATACCAGTTTTACGATCCATTGTGTTCCCCTTAAACTCTGTCCATATACAAATAATCACGGTAGAAAATGTCACTAGGTTCGTATGACTTTTATAGTCCATTGATATTAAAAACTTACTATCAGACCTAATTCATATCCGTTGTGTGATCGATGAAAAAGCCAGATATATGCTAAGTGGATATGGAAAATTAGATCTAAATGTTACGTTATAATCGTAAAATAATCAACTTCAAGTATCCACCATTTTAAAGAAGCTAGCGGCTTTCGTCTTGTAAGAAGACGAACCTAGTGTATTCTAGAAGTTTAATGGGAGTTTGTGTATGTATTTACAACCAATAATACTGATCGAGTGCGAGCGTTTCATTCTTTCAGTTTATATCGGCTGGAAAAAATATTGAATTTCATGCCAAAATTTGGTTTCTATTCACTAGGCAAGGTAATTTTCCCTGAATGGAAGTATAAACCGTTTATTGACCTGTTTTTACGTTCTCTTCTGTGAAAAAAGAAATCGGAAAAATGTCTAATGTATATTTTATGGACAGGGGAAGAATTTTTCTCCTATTCATTGATCCTTGTTTCCACCAATCAATAATTACAGGTTTACTAATCAACTACACAGAAAACAAAAAAATACAGCTTCAAGGTTATTGTTAAGTATTCCATTATACATAGAGAAGATTATCTCGATTTTCTACTTCTCCTGAGTAAATGTAAATTATAATATCTGTTTTCCAAATATCAAGTGATGAAAATATGGTTTAAAACTGCATACACGAGAATTCGTAGTATCTTTGGAAAATTTTCTGTATAAGGGTCTTCTGTTTATAACGTTAAGAGATCAGACTTTGGGGGGTCCAAAATATCCAATTAACCATCAAAGGGACTTTCGTGATATCATCATGCTACTGGAATGTGTTATTACGATTTGACACTCAAAAGTGTGAAAAAAAAAGATTTTGTAAATCAGGAATAATGAGCCTTGTGAATTGATGTGAACTCAGTTCATTTTTAATGTTTTAGGTCTATATACACACTGAATTGTGTCAATAAAGTGTTTTGCAGACGCAATATGTTGTGTAAAATAAAGTTATTCGAAGTTCATTTGGTTCAATTAACTATAAGATGTTCACTAAACCAAGTAAACTAGTTGATATATATTGATCTGAACCAAATCACGAATTTGTACTTAACACGTCCTTAGACCAGGTGTCAGCTGGAGAAAACAATCCAAATTTCGGTCGAATGAAAGGTCCACTTCTGAGATTTTGACAACTGGTTTCTTAATATCTTTGCATTTTTATCCCTTTTGAAATCAATAAACATAAATGAAATCGTAGGTGCTGTAGGGATCCTTTTAATTCAGGGTTTCGATTCCATATTTTCTTCATAGAACTTGGAAGGAAATCCACTCTTCACAAGTACTTGTCAGAATTTGTTCAATTCGCTGCAGATTCTTCCAGCTTTTAAAGACAGGAAACGTATCAAATTTCCCGAATTCAAAAGCAACGAACAGATTGTCAATCACTTGTATTCTTAAATTTGTTTCTAATAAGAAAGTTGTACATACTCAGATCTTAAAAAAAGCACTTCATTTAATTCCATGTAGTTTATCTATTCCCTCTCGCTATATACATATGGAGTTTTCGGTTGTTTCACTTCTTTCTTTTATTTTTAAAAAAAGAAACTTGTTGAAATATGTTGTACTGAGAATACTATAATGTACCTAAAGTATAATACTGAGCAAAGCCAATGATAATAATAATCTGTGTGTTACTCATTCCAGGTTGGCTTTCTGTATGTCAATCTTTGTAGAGATCCTCCAGATATTTAGAAAAATAACACCGACAAAATGAGATTCTACGCTCAATTCTAAATAAGGTCTAAATGTAGTCGACTTGCAGCACATACTAGAAG